AAATGTAAGAGTGTATGATCCACCACGAGGTGAGTATCATTACACGAATCAACCTTTACAATATGTACGATTATTAGTTTGGTCTTCCATCATGGATCTGCAATTGCACTTCTACTATGGATCTCAAGCTCTATCTAAGTCCTTTTACCACAAATTTCTAGTTCCAGTTTGACTTTTTCTTCACGAATTTTAAACTCTAACTCGACCCTTTTATCACATATTTCCAACTCAGTTTGGTTTTTTCACTATAGATATCTAAACTGGTCCTTTCACCATATTTCTAGCTTCAGCTCACTCTTTCTTTCACATATCTCTGGTTCAACACTTCAACTATCTTCAGTTCCAGTTTGATCCTTTCCCTACTGATCTCCTACAACACTAATAAACAAAAAGTCAATATAACTGGAATCGGTTCCACCATGTTAAGAATCGACTCAAAGTCATTGAAAAACCATTATTATGATTAGTATTTTTACCTCAAACGAATACAAAGCCATTATAATAGTATTTTTCACCCCAAACAAACATAACATTAAGGTATCACATTTCAAACATAAATTTCAGTCTAACAACATATTTCGCAACAGTTTAAAAAAATTTCACATATTTCACAATTCAAAAACATACTATACCAATCACCATGATCGACCAAATAAAAATATTTAGTTAAATAAAATATACAAAAAATTTAAATATCAAATATCATACAAAAAGACGTTAAAAAGTATAACGAAATGTATACTTTTACATCTTAATAAAAACAATTAATTTTTTAATCATTATATAGTATGAAAATTGATAACATTACGCAATAAAAATAATAGATAGTATATAACTTACGCAAGGGTGTAATAATTTTGAAGTGATATAAAGGTAAGAAAGTCTATTAATTTATCATGTAATTTATAGACATTCTAAACTATCCACCAACACATCAATTTTTGTTTTCACTGTGACACTTAGAAATAATGAGAAAAACTTTCGCGCCTTCAAATATTTGGATAAAATCCACAATAGGTAGTTATTATCCACAAATGTTGAATCACAGAAATAAAATCCAATTAACAAATTCTCGCTTAAAGGAGAGTTCTTTTCTTCTTCCTTTTGGTTCAACTCGTATTGTAGGAAGTATGTTTCATTCCCTTTTCTCTCTCTTGGTTTTGATTGGGGTTTTGTTCTGATTTGAGATTTGAAATTAGAGTTTTATTTGTTTTCTGATTTTGGAGGTTTCTTTTGTACGTTTTGATTCGCGTTTTGGGAGTTTGTTTCTTGATTTCTTCCTTGTTTTGGGGTTAGGGTTCGAATGAGTGTTTTGAGTTTTTCTGGATTTTAGTTCGTAGATGCAGATTGATTTTCGCACAAATGAGTATCCTAGTGGTTGTTGCGGGGATTTTTGTGATTGCTTTTTGTTTTTGGAATTTGGGTTTAGGGTTCGTGTTTGCATTCTCTTGGACACTCTTTATCTCTCTGTTTCATACATTGATAGATATTTATGGTTTAATCCTATGACTAAATTGAGACTTCAGTTATGAGATGTTTTCTCTTGATATTTTTTTTTCAAAAGTTGTTCAATATTTGTTCTCTTCAACTTGCTTAAAAATTACATTGTGTTTTTTTTAATATGTAGCAAATATAGATGTTTGTAACATCCTATACTTTTTGTTAATTTTTTTGATTTCACGGTTCAAGGATTTATAATTATATATTTTATTTACCGTTTTTTTTATAGAAGATAATATACTTAACTTTTGAATACAAAATTTAGTTTAGTTAATTGATATAAGTTGAATTTTTTAAAACTGAACTCTTGAATAATACAGTTACATATATTAAAGTAGTTCAGTTTTTTTAATTTATAACTATAGTTAACTATATTTAGTATAATTTAATTAACTATACCCAGTCCTAATTATTAGTGTTTCCATAATCTGAGATATCATTAGTTAAAAACGTTATGGATGCCCAAAAAAACTTTAATTCCTCACCGACCCATAGGTTATATATATTTCCATCATACACATGCAAAGGACTGTGTTCTTTGAACAATCCCATGTGCTACAGCTAGCACACCCCACAAATCCTTTCTCAACTTTATAGCTTATCTCATACCAAAAAGCAAGTGATGATTCTACACTCTCATTTAACATTTAGAACTATCACTAAAAAATTTAGAACTATCACTAAAAAATTTAGGACTATCACTAAAAAATTTAGGACTATCCCATCAATTTTTTGTCTATTTCTTTCATTTTAGTCTTATCTTTCTATTACTAATGCCTTTCTACTTTATGTTACCTGTCTTTAAAAATCTATTGTATATGAGAAAAAAGGGCAACTAATATATTATGGAGAAATTGAAAATTGACTTGAATGAGCTTTTTTTCTTTTCTAAAAATTGTAAGTGCGAGAAAAAATATTTTTTATAAATTAAAGTCAATTTATATAAATTTCTCGTGTAGTTTCTAAATTTTATAATTTTAATATAATATAAAATTCAATAAAATAAAATAAAGAGTATGAATGTTATATAATTAATAAAATAAAAAAATGAATATTGATTTTAAAATCAGTGAATATATTTGAGCATACTTAAGAGACTGTAATTTCCTTATAATTAAATCATTGACTTTCTTTATAAAGCTTATAATTTTATATTTCAAAACTTTTATTTTTATTTTTTACAATTTTATTTAAATTGTAGTGTTATTTTATTAGAAACACGATACAGGTGAGTGACTATTTCAAAAGGGGTGTAAATGTTATTTAACATGATGCTAGACTAAATAAATTTCTTCTTTAAGTAAGTTGAAAAGATGTACTCAAAAGAAAATAGAAAGATATTAACAAAATAATAATAAGTGTACTATATGACCTTTCGATTAACTTAAGATCATATGATATACATAGTCAGACGTCTACTCAGTGATGGAACGATTATACCATATGATCGTATGATTATTTATATACAACAATTAGACTTGATGAAAATTAATTTTCTTCAAAACACGATAAATATCAATTGGGTCATAATATATTAAGTCGTCAATAATTCAAACTTCACTCTAAAATTTATAAATTTGGGTTTAAGGTATAAAGATGGTTTAATGTCTCAATAGGTCCTTATTTTTGTTCAGAATTTGAAATAGATTCCTTTATTTTTTGGCGTCTCAATTGGGTCTTTATTTTTGTTAATTTGATGCAAATAAATCTTTTCCGTCAATTTCATCAAACGGCGTTAATGAATGTGTGACGTGGCCTTACACGTGTCAATACTGTCCTCAGGCCACGTCACACATTCATTTTGCATCAAATTAACAAAAATAAGGATCTAATTGAGACGCCAAAAAATAAAGGGACCTATTTCAAATTCTGAACAAAAATAGGAACCTGTTGAGACATTAAACCTATAAAGATAGATCATCGAATTTATTACACTCTTGACACGCTGTCTTTTGCAAAATACAGTTGGTAGTTGGGAGAAGATACTGTTCATAAAGTGCCTAGTGCCTACCCGTTCCTCCACAAACTTTCTTGGAGCTACCATTCCTTTCTTATCAACACACTACAATATAAAGATAAGAATACAAGATAAATACGTAATTATAGAACAATTTTTCATATTTTATATATTACTAGTAATAGACCAAATGAAAATTAGAGATAAGAGTTGGAGCTGGTTATTACTTACAAGAGTGAGAGTACAGAGAGAAAACGAGCTGAAGATATTTTGTTTTGTCGATCGTAATTTTAGAGGTATGTAAAAATGAGATAATTAAGAAAAAAATTTAAAATATATGTTTGCTATAAGTACATGCAACCATAATATTAGATTAAAAAAGAAATAATTTTGAGTTTAAGTTTAATATATTATTGAATTAACAAGAAATTACTTTACGCGATGATTTTTATTACGTGTAATAATTTCTTAGTGAATAATAATATAAAAAGAAACTAAATATATTTTTAATTTTTAATCGTATAACGTATGCCTTTAGTTTTTTTAATTTTTCTTTACTCTTGTTTCTATAACTTTTAAATGTTATGTTTCTTTGCTTGTGTAGTCACACTTTGTTATAAAAATGTTAATGTAATTAACAGTGTCAACATCGTTATATAATCATATCATTACAAACTTAAAAACAAAAATTGATTTTATTAGTTAAAAAATACTAAAATTCAAAAAAATAACATATTTAAATAGATGGAAAACAAAATTTAGAGAGTAAGAAATAGCATTTGTATGATAATTTTTTTTAAAGTTAAATAAAAATTAAAATAAAATCAATATTTTGGTATTAATATATTTTTCATCCTCATTTATATTTGCTCTTCTTTGTACAACAATGGTGGGTGGTATTAAGGTTGTTTAAGATACTCTTTCTAGATACACCTCATAATCATTCTTAAAATCCAATGTTTTTGAACATGGATTAAGATATTTCAATAAGTGTTCTATTAGATTCAGTTATTCTTTTTTGTTGATTAAAAAAATTGTTTAAGGTTGTTGGGTGATAATGGTTTGTGATTTTGAAGACATGAGGATAGCTTGTTGTAAGTCGCTTGGTTTGAGTTTGAGAAATGGAAGCATTAATGATCCGAAAAGAGAGACACACGAGTGTCAATTTTAAGGAAGTATAAAACAGTATTCTAATGAAACGTTATCGGAAATGTTTCATTCATTCCTTGGAACCATATATAACATCTTGAATATGATCAAATAAAATTATTCGGGACAGTACTTTGAAAATATATAATTGTCATAAATAAGTTTACTATTTCTTATATTATTTTCAATTGTCTGAAAAGATGAACGTGTCTCTTTTGTTTTACCTATTTTCACTCATGCAGAATTATAACTATAAAGAGAGATGATTTCATTTGCTGCAGCACTGTCATTAAAATCACAGGGAAGAACTATGAAGGCCTGTTGGTTTGAAAACATGCATACAAGAATTGTAGATAACAACTTCTTTTATTTGGTGGTCAGACTGACGACACTCTTGCATTAAAGTTCTCTTTTCATTATCCTAACCTTCAACCCGTTCTTCATGGAAAGCCCAAACGAACGGCTTGGACTGATAACATGACCTTCCACCACTTCAAAACGATATTTCCACAACATAGTAGCTGTCAGCATCTTCATTTGAAGAAAAGACGACTCCTTTCCCAAACAAGTTCTTGGTCCTGCATTAAAAGCAATGAATTTGTATGATGCTACATTAACAATCTCTCCTCTTTCAGATATCCATCTCTCTGGCTTGAACTCCAAACAATCTTTTCCCCATATCTCTTCACACCTTCCCATTGCATAAAAAGAAAGCATTATCATTGTATTGGCACTTACTATATGCCCGCTTGGAAGAGTGTCAGCTTTAACTGCTTGCTTCCGTTGAATAGGTAATGGAGGGAAAAGTCTCAGAGATTCACACAATGCAGCATGCAGATAAACCAGCTTTTTCACCTCTTCCATGCCTAAAACTTCCCCAGTTACAGATTGGCTCAGATCCTGCTCCTCATCAAAGCCATGACCACGGTCATCATTTTTCTTAAAATTATCTCTGATCTCTTGAAGAATCTTGGCTTCCACTATAGGGTGTTTGATAAGAAGCCAAAAGAACCAGGTAAGAGTCGAAGCCATGGATCCCCTCCCCGCTACAAGAAAGTTAAATGCAAAATCCCTTACGAACTTATCATCATGCTCACTCCCTCCATGTTCTGTCATCAAAACAGTTAGCATGTCAGATGGAGCTTCATTCATTTCTTCTTCTGTGCACTTGCTTAACTCTTCTCGCTTGGACTCTATGAGTGAATATATGAACTTATCAATTGTTCTACATGCTTCTGTCATCTTCTTCTCTTGACCAATTTGGAGCCACTTTTGGAATTTCCATACAGTGTACGGCACCGTGTGTCTGTAGAATATCGACTTTTCAGACACTCTGAAAGCCTTCTCAACTGCAACTACGGGGAAGTCAATGGAAAGACACTTAGGATCGTGTCCTACGGTTGTTAAGAATATGTTATCAAAAGTGAATCGCAAGAGGAGATCTTGAAGATCCACCACCCTCCCATGTTGTTGTGCATGATTCAATATTGGAAGCAGGCTTGTAAGTATCTTCTTCTGAACGGTTTGATCGACGAATGCTTTGAGTCTTGGCTGTTTCATCAGAGAATGGAGAATGGTTCTGATGTACTTCCATGTCTCATAATCGGCAGTGACAAACCCATCTCCGAATGGTTCGAAAATGTCACGAAAGTCATGTCCCTTGACATAGTTGTCGAAGTTCTTGCACAACATGTGTTGCACGTTGAGGGAGTCACAAGTGACCAAATAGTTCATATCGGCGAACCATGGTCCTTTGAACTCCCCAGTGCCACCATGTTTTGTTAGCACCTCCGTGAAAAAATCATGAACACGCCACAAGTTGAAAAGCACTGGTGGCAACATTCCAAGGATGGGGTAATCTCTCAAGAGGGGGTGTTTGCTAGATCTTCTGCGATGGAACAAGTATAGGGAGCATAAGAATGATGCTATTATTGTTGCATAGAAAAGCATGGTGTTTGTTGTTAATTTGAAGATGGTTATCACTTTTTATAATGTGCATGACCTACATTTTTGTTTGTTATACTGTCTCTCTGTACCGAAAATGACTGATTATTTTGTTTTTTCTTCTTTGTATATTTTCTTAAGGAAATAAAACATGGCTATTAAAATACTAGAAATGGGATTTTCAGAAACATAAACAAATCCTTTTTAAATACTCTCACATTATTACTCTTTGTTTTACAAAATTATCACAATGTTTTTTTTAAGAGTCAATACTTTTTAGATGTTGTCTATTTGAGTACTATTTATTAATAGACAAAAAAAAACGTTATCTATTATTGACTATCAATAAAAAAAACGTTTATTTGAAAAAACTTTTTTAATAGACAATTTGAAAAAACATATTTTATTAACCGTCAACAATAAAGTATATTGTTTTAAATAAACACGGTTGATGGTTAATATTGCAGTGGTAATTGCCATTTGGTGCTTAGCAATTTCAATAATAATTGCTCTCAAACTTCGCATAGCCAAGCTGCACTCAATGCTATACTAGCATTGCTCAACATCAAACCAGAACACAACAACTTCAAAATTGAGTTTTGGGGAAACTAGAAACCTATTCAAACATCCATATTGATATTCTTTGCCCAATATATGACTCAAAAATAGGTTTAGATATCAGAATGAATACCAATTTATTCAAATTACCACATAATCAAATTCCTCAACTTAATACCTAAACAATAAAAAACAAGTACCATATCATAATTAACACAATCAGCACTTCTACATACTAGTTTGACCAATTCAAACAAAAAACATACATGCAATTTGGATTTACAATACATCAACAAATTTAAAATGAGGTAGCTATATTTCCTTACCTGTTAAAGGTTGAAACTGTTGTAAAAAACCTAGGAATATTTCAATCGCTCAAGAAACTCTATTTGTTCCTGTAAACCACCAAAGCATGATTAGGATATACCATTATAATTACTTATCATCAAAGAGTCTTATAAAACCCTCACGAGATACATGTAATGAAGAACTATTCACATGCATAAAAAAACATGAAAAGTCAAGAAAAAAGATTAAACTAACTTACTATTCTATAAAAACTACTTGGACAGACTTGAACATCTTACCTCAACGATCATTCAGACACTCTTTGATCTTCAAACAAATGAATTATAGGTTAAAAGACAAAAATAAAAAATAAAAATCTATTACAAAATATATTTTAAAAAAATGATATGTTTTAAACTATGAAACTCACTACTAAAATTCTATTTATATTTTAAAATTTTTAATTTTAAAATAATCGAGTCTTAATATTTAAAATAAACTATCACTTCTAATATCTATTTTTTTAAGTTTTACAATATTATAAAAAACTTTGAAGTGAAATACTAATAACAATAAATAAATATTTGATAATCCATATACGGATTCCTATATGAAGGAGGAGTAATGTAAAGTCCGAATTAGTTATACTTGCACAATCAAATATACACATATATTCCAAAGAATATTAATACAAAACTAATATAATATTTTAGTTATTATTGGAAACCTATATGTTAGTTTAAGTATAACATTGAATAAAAAAATATTTAATATAAGAAATTAACTGATATTATCTAAGCTGTCAAAACTCGCGAGCCAACCCGGCTCACCACGGGTTTGAGCCGGGTTGGGTTAGGAAAAATTATATTTTTTTTTATGAGGATCAGATTTCAATCCGGCTCGTTTAAACCTGGCTCATGCAGGTTGAACCTGTGGTGGGCCGGATTGGCCCACCAACCCACCTACATAATTTTATTTTATTAAATTTTAATTTTAATTTTATAAAAAAATATTTATTATTTTGTTTTTGCTTGAAAAAGTTATTTAAGTTTCTTATTTTCAAAATTAATTAAACACTCATGTTGGAAGTGAAATTTGAGAATGAAATTTGTTTAGATTTATATTATAGAAAGTTTGTAATTTTATTTTAAAAAAATTGTAATTAAGTGAGCCAATCCGTTTACCCACCAACCCGTGGTGGGTCGAGTCGGGTTTGAATTTTTCTGACTCGTTAATAAATAAGCCAGATTGAGTTGACTCACTAAGTGACCAACCCGTAGTGCGCCAGATCGGGTCGGGTCGGGTCGGATCGAGTGACCCATTTTGACAGCTCTAATATTATCCTTCCAAAAGACACATACCCAACATACAAAACATCAATATTCTAAACTGAGAAGATAGGAGAAAAGTATAGGCTTTAAATGTTTATGGACTACATCTTTCAATTGAATTGAAGTAAAATTATGAAGGTATATGAAAAGATAATATACCCCTAATCTATTGCTTTCCATCCCTATTTTCAAGGTACGTCTTCGTTTGTCTAAGTTCCGTAGTGATTATTAGTGGCCCCATAATCTGTTATATCATTAGTTAAAAGTGTTATGGATGCCCATAAAAATTCCTAATTCCTTACCGACATATAAGGTTACGTTACCATCATACACATGCAAAGGACTATGTTCTTTGAATATTCCCATGTGCGACAGCTAGCACACCCCCACAAAGTTCCTTTCTCAACTTTATAGTTCATATCTCATACCAAAAAACAAGTGATGATTCTACACTCTCATTTAACATAAATCACTACAAAATTTAGGACTATCATGAGTTCCTACATGCCATCAAATTTTTGTTTACTTCTTTCATTTCATAATAATTATAGTCTTACCTTTCTATTACTAATGCCTTTCTACTTTATGCTGCTTGTCATTAAAAACCTATCATGAGTACATTTATATGAGAAAAAAAGGGTAACTAATATTGTATGAAGAAATTCAAAATTGACTTGAATGATCTTTTTTTTTCTTCTCTAAAAATTGTAAGAGCGTGATTTTTTTTATAAATTAAAGTCAATTTCTATAAATTTTCTCGTGTAGTTTCTAAATTTTATAATTTGAATATAATCTAAATTTCAATAAAATAAAATCAAGAGTATGAATGTTATATCATTAATAATATGAAAAAAGGATATTGATTTTAAAATCAGAGAGTGTGAATGTATTTGAGCATACTTAAGAAAGTGTTATTTTATTAGAAACGATGGTGAGTGACTATTTCAAAAGGGTCGTAATAATGTTAACATGATGCTAGAATAAATAAATTTCTTCTTTATAAACTAATTAAGTTGAAAAGATATAGAGAGAAGAAAATAAAAATGATATTAAGAAATTAATAAGAATAATAAAAATATAAATAAATAAATTGATAAAAAATAGTGAATAATTATATTTGTTTATTTTCTAAGTAACACTCAACATCTTTTGCAAAAGACAGTTGGTAGTTGAGAGAAAATGCTGTTCATAAAGTGCCTAGTGCCTACCCATTACTCCACAAACTTTCCTAGAGCTACCATTCCTTTCTTATCAACACACTACAATATAAAGATAAGAATACAAGATAAATACGTAATTATAGAACAATTTTTCATATTTTATATATTACTAGTAATAGACCAAATGAAAATTAGAGATAAGAGTTGGAGCTGGTTATTACTTACAAGAGTGAAAGTAGAGAGAGAAAACGAGTTGAAGATATTTTGTTTTGTCGATCGTAATTTTAGAGGTATGTAAAAATGAGATAATTAAGACAAAAATAATTTTATTTTAAAATATATTTTCGCTATACGTACATACTACTATAATATTTTGAACATGGATTAAGATATTTCAAGTGTTCTATTATATTTAGTTATTCTTTTTTGTTGATTTAAATTAGTTGTTTAAGGTTGTTGGGTGATAATGGCTTGTGATTTTGAAAACATGAGGATAGCTTGTTGTAACTTACATGGTGTGAGTTTGAGAAATGGAAGCATTAAGAGTCCGAAAAGAGAGACACACGAGTGTCAATTTTAAGGATGTATAAAACATTATTCTAATGAAACGTTATCGGAACTGTTTCATTCATTCCTTGGAACTATATATAACATCTTGAATATGATCAAATAAAAAATTATTTGAGACAACGTTTTGAAAATATATAATTGTCATAAATAAGTTTACTATCTTATATTATTTTCAATTGTTTGAAAAAATCAACGTGTTTCTTTTGTTTCATCTATTATAGGGCTTTCAAAAAGATTTGATCAAACGCGTCACTCATGCAGAATTCCAGAAAAATATTCTTGGATTATCAACATTAAGTTGGTTTAGTTACGTAAAGAAATTTAGGTAAATTTCAATTGCTTGATTAATAACTCAATTAAGTTATACTCTTAATAAAACTTAATAAAAAACAATGTCAAAACCAAAATAACCATATTCACCAACCAAAAATCGTATATGCGATTTTCTTATGACAATAAACACAGATGATTCCTTTTGTTACAAATCTTCAAATAGCTGCATCTTATAGTACATTATTAAATTAACAAAAAAAGATAGCTTTGGTACATATTTTCTCACCCCAGTAAATACATTTAACTGTAAAATTATTGAATACATAATAAAACATCCTTACACTGTATCCAAATAAGCACACTTTCATTGTATAACGTACTTTTACCATCAAATGTCACGGATTTGTCTAACTTAAAAATAGAAAATAAACAACCCGACAAGTTCATTGGAGATTTTGTTGCATCAAACTTCTCTTTTCATTATCCTAGCCTTCAAACCGTTCTTCATGAGAAGAACAATGGAATGTGTTGGAGTTGCAACATGATCTTCCACCACTTTGAAACAGTACTTCCTCAAAGTAGCAGCAGCCACCATCTTCATTTGGAGAAACGCCAAATCTTTACCTAAACAGATTCTTGGTCCTGCATTAAAAGCAATGAATTTGTAAGCTGGTGCATAAACTATTTCTCCTCTCTCAGATATCCATCTTTCTGGCTTGAACTCCAAACAATCTTTTCCCCATATCTCTTCACACCTTCCCATCGCATACAGAGAAAACATTATCATTGTATTGCCATTTACTCTATGCCCACTTGGAAGAGTGTCGGCTTTAACTGCTTGCTTCCGTTCAATGGGTACTGGAGGGAAAAGTCTCAGAGCTTCACACAAAGCACCATGCAGATAAACCAGCTTTTTCACCTCTTGCATGCCCAAAACTTTCCCAGATAGAGATTTCTCCAGATACTGTTCTTGATCAAGATTATGATCATGATGGTCCTCATGAAAACCTTGGTCACGACAGTCATCGTTTTTCTTTTCATCTGTCTTAAAATGATCTCTGATCTCTTCAAGAATCTTGGCTTCCACTAAAGGGTGTTTAGCAATAAGCCAAAAGAACCACGTAAGAGCTGAAGTCATGGTTTCTCTCCCTGCAACAAAGAAGTTAAACGCATCATCTCTTAGAAACTTGTCATCATGCAAACGTCCTCTCTCTTCTGTGATCAAAGCAGTAAGCAAGTCAAAAGGAGCTTCCTCCGTTTCTTCTCTGCTGCACTTGCTTAACTCTTCTCGCTTGGACGCTATGCATGAATATATGAAATCGTCAAACGTTCTGCACGCCTCTGTCATCTTCTTCTCTTGACCAATTTTGAGCCATTTTTGGAGCTTCCAAACACTTCCCGGCACTACGTGTCTGTAGAATATCGACTCTTCACACTCATTAAAAGCCTTTTCGATCGCAACTTCGGGAAAGTCAATGGAAAGACACTTAGGATCGTGTCCTACGATTGTGGAGCATATGTTATCGAATGTGAATCGGTTGAAGATATCCTGAAGATCCACCACTCTTCCTTGTTGTTGTGCATGATCCAATATCGGAAGCAGGCTTGTGTACACTTTCTTCTGAACTGTTTGATCAACAAACATTTCGAACCTTCTTTGTTTGATCAAAGAATGGAGAACGGTTCTGAAGTACTTCCATGTCTCTGAATCGGCAGTGACAACCCCATCTCCGAAGGGTTCGAAAATCTCACGAAACTCGGGTCCCTTGATGTAGTTGTCGAAGCGCTTGCACAGCATGTGTTGCACGTTGAGGGAGTCACAAGTGATCAAATAGTTCATTTTGGTGAACCATGGCCCTTTGAACTCCCCGGTGCCACCACGAAGTTTCAGAACCTCAGTGATAAAATCATGGATCCTCCACAGGTTGAAGAGCACCGGCGGTAGCATGCCGAGAATGAAGTAATCTCTCAAGAGGGGGTGTATGCATTGTGTTCTGCGATGGAAGAAGTATAGGGAGCAAAGGAATGATGCTAATAAGGTTGCATAGAGAAGAAACATGGCCATATCGAAAACGAGAAATTGTTTGTGCATGCACGAATGATAGGGTTATAAATGTGGATGGTTTGGCCTATGAGTGTGGGATATTGTCCCATATATATAGAGACTCAAAGTGAGATATGCTTGTCTTTTTCTTCTTCAATGTGCCTGTATTTGCTTTTCTCGATACATTGCTCTTAGATTTTACAAGTTGGCAAAAACAGTTGTGATGTTTAATGAATTTATGTTCGTCAAAATTAATAATGGTGAGGGCCATGTCTGAGATAAAGCATGATAAAAGTCAAAACATGATACGTTGTACGTTTATGTATGTTTGGCCCACGATGGGTTGAATGTGGTACGGTTGCATAAACTGAAATTGTGAAGTTATAGATAGCTAATTTCTTAGACAAAAATTTACCATAAATTCTAGATACAGATATTTTTTTCTACATAAATTCTACCGTGCAAAGCTAAGGATTATAGGAATTTTTCATTTTAAGATTGATGAGTTGACTATATTGTATATTTGCATATTATTAATTTATACAACTTACAGTACCATATATTGTTTGAAATTCTTCCATCATGAGGTGATGGTCCTCTCTCTCACACATACTCTTCCATAAATAGCCCATAAGAGAGAGTTAATTAGGTTCATTTAGATGATAGATAAGAATTTCTTTTTAGTGTTCTATTTTATAACTTATTATCACCCAAATAAGTTATAAAAAAAAATTATACTTCATATGTATAAAACAAAATACATTCACCTTAAATTTATTCTAACAATATAATTATATATATATATATATATATATATATATATTATATCAATAATTTATATTAAAATCTGAAAGAAATATTAATTTGTTGAAGTACTTATATTTTTTATATGGGTGTCAACATCTTATCTCCTTAAGTTATATGTTAGATTTACATTTTTTTTATTCAAACTGAAAAACAAACACTTTATTTCTTCACCCATTTTTGGCATAAAATAATGAAGAAAATGTGCTTATGAAGCATAGCAAAAAGATCTATGGACAGAACTACCAGAAAAAAGAAGAGAATATCAAAGCAATGACATGTCTGTTTATCTCTTGCCATATATAGTAACTCTCAATTGTATAAATCGTTCTCTTTTTAATTATGTTTAGAATATTGTATTTTCTTCTATTAAATGTAAAACCATTTATTTTATCATAACTGTAAATTTTTTCTTTCTTATTGAGAATTTTCACGTTAAAGTATTCCCTTCTTATCTTCTCAACAAATTTATATTAATTCCTCGTGTGGATAACTAATATTGTATGGATGAAACTACACCCAGAAAAATATTTATGAATGTTGGAGATTATATTTATATCATATAAATAAGTAAAATTTATTTTACAAGTTAATTTTATAAAATTAA